AGCGCTGCTCGCATACTGCCATGCCAAACCATGCACGCAGCAGCCCATGCTTGCTTTTCTGTTAAAAATAACAGTGGTTTGTGATTGTGAATGTTGATGCTTAGCCTAAATAACAAATATTTTATTGGGAGTGTTTATGCTGGAATGTTGTGGAGCTTAGGAGATGTTACAGAACCATTTCATGTACATTTCTTCGATGTACTGAAAAAATCTATATAGATTACTTTTATGCGATTACATGTTATGGACAAAACATGAATGTTGCGGCGCGGGAGCGGGACCGGATAAGATATATTTCTGCAGGAGCGGGACTGAAAAATCCGTCTCTAAACCAAAGGTCTCATTTATAAACGTTGCATGCGCACAAAATGGGCATAGAAATATGCGCACACAGTTTTCCATGCATACATCTGTATTTATAAAAAAATTTACTTGGCGTAAATGTGCACACCGTGTGGACTTTCTAGACAATGCATACTCTTTTTCCTTGAGTGAGAAAAGTAATGAAATAATTAGGCTACATAATTCATATAATTTTGGTTTCACTTCTGCGTAATGACTTTTAGATGGATGCGCTTGATCATTTTTCCTGTGGCATGCGATGTCTTAATGACAGCGAGGAGTGCTATAGGTGCACAATAATTAATCTTTAAACTAAACTGCAGATCTCATGTAATGAGAAATATTTTAGCGAGAACAACGATCACGGCTGGATTTGGTGGTCGAACGGTCCATTCTCTGGTTTGAATAGGACCAATGATAATAGCTTACTGTACAACCACAGCTGCACGGAGGTGTTAATGGCCTATGAAGGAATCTCAAAAATATTATGAAAAATACTACTGTATTTGGAGGATACAACTTGAAGAACCTTCCAACAGGACAATGACCCTAAGCACACAGCAAGAGTGTCTTATAGACAACTGTGTGAATGTCCTTGAGTGGCCCAGCCACAGCCTGGGATTGAACCCAACCAAATATTTCTGGAGAAATCTGAAAATGTCTGCTAGCCCCATTCAAGCTGACAGAGCTTGAGAAGTGAAGAGAAGAATGGCAGATAATGGCAGCTTGTTGCATCATACCCAAAAAGACTTGAGGCTATAAAGGTGCTTCAACTAAGTACCGTGTTAAGGGTATGAATACTCAATGTACTTATTTCAGTTTTTTAATTGTAATAAGTTTGCAAAGTTGTATTTTGTGTTGTCATTATGGTGTATGGAGTGTAGACTTAGATGGGAAAAGTTATTTAAAAGCAGTTAAACATAAAGCTGCAACAGAACAAAACGTGGAGAAAAAAAAAAGAAGGGTATGAATACTTTTAATAGGCACTGTGTGTTTAATTTGAGTTCCGAAGATGAAGAAAGTTCTTACAGGTTTGGAACGACAAGAGGGTGAGTAATTAATGATTAATTTTGGGTGAACTATCCCTTTAAAAACTTGCTGTGTACACTACAGTCTCCATATTCACGACGTTCTAGGCGCTAATATTTTAACAATTTATAAAAGATGAGTCAATGCCTGGCCATCTGGGATTTCAGTATGGATATAAAGGTCAGGGTTATAATTTTTTCAGAAGTATTACATCACATCGTGGGTGTATATTAGCACAGTTTGGTGTGTTCTTGGGGCATCTGGCAGAGTGTTTGGACCCAGAAGCAGTGACGCGTGATGTCAGACTTAAGCAGATATTCTTAACCATTCCTATCCAATCGTCAGTCTGCTACGAGCAATAGGTGGAGAGGAGGTGCACTAAAGTAAAACCCTGCCCTTTTTTCAATATTCTGTTTCACTTGGAAATACATCACAACACTGAAGTCAGTTGCAACTTCCGGTTCATGGGGACTTTAATATTGGTATTTTTCAAGGTATTGTTTTCAAGTTAGAAATTCCCGTTGATGTTTTATTAACAAATTTCGGGAGGCGCACGTGCAGATAATTAACACGGCCAGTCCATCATCAGTAATTACACCATCTATCCAATCAGCACAAGAGAGAACCTCTATAAATAATCAAAGCAACCTTACCTTCATTATCTCTAGTCTTTCAGCACTGGCACACCCAATCGCCGCAATCATGTCAGAGATCGAACTTTTCCCAGACAACAACGCGTTCGACACCACGGGTCCTCCAGTCGCCGTTCAGCGCACCAGTGCTCCGCAGGACACCATAATCATGCCCGTGGCTGCAACGCGGGGCCGCCGGCCTTCCCTCATACCTCCAGACACCGAGGCACGCCATCACCTTCGCCTTCTAGGCGTCAGCCACCTTCTCCAGCGTCCTCCTACGCTTCAGCCCTCTCCTCCGCCCCAGCTGCGGAAAAATGGACCGTGACCGGACTACGCCAGGCGCTCATTAGCTCCGGCATCAATGTCCCACGACGGTCGGTCAAGGCGGATCTCCTCGCCCTCTATAATTCCCTACAAACAGGGGTGCCTCCAAGCTCTACTCCTCCATCCAAGGCCGCCAATAAAGCGAGCCAGGGCCGCAGCGTTCCGTACTCACGGCCCGAGCTAACCACCACTCCTTCGAAGACGGGCTTCCGGCCGTCGCAGCAAAAAGCCTTCAGCAAGCCTGGGCTGCGCCCCAGATGCCGCCAGCCCCAGACCCCCTCCTCCATCCACCGAGCGTCAGCTCGCATCTCATCTCGGCGAAGTGCCAGCTCCAGTCTCCACAAGCTGCCACGTCAGCATGAGTATGCCTCCGCTAGCGGCGCAGACCTGCCCGCAACACTCGCCTCACACCTCTCCATACCCTCTTCCCTACCCATGGCCCGCAGCCCCACCATCCATCTCCAGCGCGCCTCCGCTAATACTGGAGCTGTCCCAAGTGCGAGCTTGCTTCCGCTAATGACGCAGGCCCCGATGCCCATCATTCCCCCTCTTTTTCCCCCTTCCTATTCCGTCCCCGGAACTGCCCCAAGCGTGAGCGTGCCTCCGCAAGTGGTTCCGGCGACTACCTTTCCACTTCCCCTCGCTTGCTCTTCCTTCTCCCTTTCTTCCCCCCCCCCCCCAATTTCACCTTCGTCTGCAGATCGCCAAATCGACTGCAGCGGATTTTCTGGATTATCTCACGATAGTCACCAAACATGCGTTATCATACGGCGGCTCTCACTTTTACACCTTCCACAAATTATGTGCCATCCGAGTGGCCCAGTGGAACCAATGTCCTTACTGGGGGCTTTGGACACCGAACTCCATAATAGAGTATTTTTAGGCTGCTGCAACATATCTTGGGCGGTCTGTCGATCCGTCACCCACTCCACCATTACATGCCCTCTCAGCTCCCTCTGATAGCCAGGTCTGTGCCAGTTTTAATACTGGCAGATGCTCAAGGCAGCGCTGCCATTTCATGCATGTTTGCTCACGCCCGCTTGATATGTCCAGTGCAAAAATAAAAATGCTAAACAATACTTATCCACTCCTGTAAATGTTTCTTGTTTGTCTTCAGAATTGCTTCATCACCCTGACTCCTTTTTTTATGGATTGTCTACTATCAGGTCTCTCACATAGCTTTCACCCCGGTGTCGAAAAACTCCCCTCCCTAAGCCTTATCTGCCCCAATCTCCAGTCCGCTCTCGCCGAACCTGAAACAGTCGATCTCCTAATTAAAAAAGAAACCGACGCAAACTTCATGTTCGGCCCCTTTTCTGTCCCTCCCTTTAATATTTTCCATGTTAGCCCCATCAGTGTAGCTACCAGGAAATTCTCAGGTAAAAGACGTCTCATAATTGATCTCTCATCCCCGCATAATTCCCGGTTCCCAAGCGTTAACAGCCTCATTCCACTTGAAGAATTTTCTCTCCACTACCATGACATTGACCCAAGCCATTACCCTGATCAAAAACGCGGGTCGCGGCGCTTGGCTGGCCAAAATCAACATCACCTCTGCCTTTAAAGTGATGCCGTAGCAGTTCCCACCCCCACAGGAGTTTTTTCTTTTTCAGATGCTGCAGTAGCGCCCGCTTCCGCAGAAGCCTCTAGCTCTCTCTTCCAAGCCTCAGCAGTGCCGCTACTACAAGCGATGTCAAGCACCCCACCAATCTTAAGCTTTGCAAATTTTGGGGGGTTATCAATGCTCCTCTCTGGCTGCTGTCCCATACTAATTGCATCTTTTGGGGGAGTGCTCTGGGTCCGGGCTAAAAGCCGAGCTCGGTCTCTTCTCCCCGGACAGGGGGAGTACCCTGGGCTCGAGAGTAATTACCGAGCATGGAGCCCTCTCCCAGGACAGCACGCCAAATACACATAACCTTTACTCTGTTAATTATATGCAAGTGTGAACTCGTGAATTCATGTGTTTTGTTGAAAGAAGCTATTTTCTAATCTATATAGATCTTTGATTTGAAAAAAATATTCAATCATATCAATTGATTCCCCGCCCCCTATATTTGGCTCTTTGAGGGGTTTACAGTAGTCATGATTTAAAAAAAAAAATTTACCAGTACATTCTCTCACTAAAGATGAATCAGAAAATGCAGTGACAAACCGAATGAAATAAAGAATATTACATTTCATTTGTTTGATCATTATTTATATTATCATTCAATTACACTGTGGCATTTCGCAGCATGACAGAAGTTTAACTAATATTTTGAACCTAAGTTATCAATATCTAAAAAGTAAAAGAAGATTAAGAAATAAAAGAAGTGGGTATGAAGGTGGACAATCAGATTTGGCCCACACTCCGCAGCAGTGAACGTTCACTCAGATTTACAGGTGAAGGAATTCTCTCCAGTGTGAACTCTCATGTGAGTTTTTAGGCTACATTTATGACTAAAACTCTTTCCACATAGATGACACATAAAACAGTTTTCTAAGTGAGTCTTTGTGTGACGATTAAGGCTTACTTTGTGTGAGAAACACCTTCCACACTGACCACATATGAACTGTTTCTCTCCGGTGTGAATGGTCATGTGGCATCTACGGGTTAGTTCTGTCGTGAAGCTCTTCCCACACTGATCACATGTGAACAGCTTCTCTCCCGTGTGACTTCTCATGTGGTAATTAAAGGTGTTTTTGTGAGTAAAACTCTTTCTGCACTGAGTGCAAGTATAAGGCTTCTCTCCAGAGTGAATTCTCATGTGGACTTCGAGGACTCCTTTTCCAATGAAACTCTTTCCACACTGTTTACAGATAAAATGTCTCTCTCCAGTGTGAATCCTCATGTGGACTGCCAGGTTTTGTTTTTGAGGGAAATTCTTTCCACACTGTTTGCAGGTGAACAAGCTCTCTTCACTGTGAGTTCTCAAGTGGGAATTTAGGTTGCATTTATATGCAAAACTCTGTCCACACTGAGAGCAAGTATAAGGCTTTTCTCCAGAGTGACTTCTCATGTGGACTGCAAGGTTTCCTTTTTGAGCGAAACTCTTTCCACACTGCTGGCAGTTGTAAGGCTTCTCTCCAGTGTGATATCGCATGTGAATTTTAAGGTTTTCATTGGTAGTGCAACACTTTCCACACTGTTTGCAGGTGAAAGCGATGTCTCTATTGTGAATTCTCATGTGGACCTTAAGGCTTCCTTTTCGATTGAAACTCTTTCCACACTGATGGCAGGTAAAAAAGCTCTTCGATTCAATCTTCTGGACACTTTTTTGAGAGGAGCACTCCTTAGTTTTTCTCCTTAATTTTCTCCAATTTTGAAATCACGATCTTTCTCATTCTGCTCTTTCTCTTCCATATCCTTCAGCTCTTGACTCTCCTCAATCAGGTCTAAAGTGAAAAAACACAAATACAAAACCAGTTTAATGACACAAAGAAACAGACAACAAAACCAAGAGAAGGCATCAAAATCTACTTTCTGTTTTCTGTAAACTCAAACTCTTTGCTTTCAAACTTTCAACCTGGTAGTTATCAAATGCTTTGCGAAACAGAGCTTGACCAAAGGAGAGCTGCTTTATTTTCCAGCACAGTATTCATTTGGACAGCATGAGAATTGTATTGCCAATTTTGTGAACAAGCATTAGCACGGTTTAGGTCTTATCTATCCAACTGCTACCACAGGAGGCATTTCATCAAACACAAGTACAGAACGATGTTTTGTGTAAATCGTACGTAAAGCCGTTCCAACATAAACTTTAGAATTCATGAAAATTTTCACATTTTCAAAATGTTAGTGGGTACAAAAGAAATGTACCACCTGCTCCCTACCACACATAAATGGTGCGTAAAACATGGCGTGTTCTTTTCGGCAAACTGATAAGACTGAATTTTGATGCGTTAATATAACAAGTTTGTTTGCCCTGTACAACTTTGGGTAAAACGCAGTGCTTGTCACTGTCACTTTTTTATTTTAATACTAATACTATACTGCACAAATACTACACCAACCAACCATCCTACTTGGGACAGCACGCCAAATACACATAACCTTTACTCTGTTAATTATATGCAAGTGTGAACTCGTGAATTCATGTATTTTGTCAATAAGATAAAAGTGTTTTGTTGAAAGAAGCTATTTTCTAATCTATATAGATCTTTGATATGAAAAAAATATTCAATCATATCAATTGATTCCCCGCCCCCTATATTTGGCTCTTTGAGGGGTTTACAGTAGTCATGATTTAAAAAAAAAAATTTACCAGTACATTCTCTCACTAAAGATGAATCAGAAAATGCAGTGACAAACTGAATGAAATAAAGAATATTACATTTCATTTGTTTGATCATTATTTATATTATCATTCAATTACACTGTGGCATTTCGCAGCATGACAGAAGTTTAACTAATATTTTGAACCTAAGTTATCAATATCTAAAAAGTAAAAGAAGATTAAGAAATAAAAGAAGTGGGTATGAAGGTGGACAATCAGATTTGGCCCACACTCCGCAGCAGTGAACGTTCACTCAGATTTACAGGTGAAGGAATTCTCTCCAGTGTGAACTCTCATGTGAGTTTTTAGGCTACATTTATGACTAAAACTCTTTCCACATAGATGACATATAAAACAGTTTTCTAAGTGAGTCTTTGTGTGACGATTAAGGCTTACTTTGTGTGAGAAACACCTTCCACATTGACCACATATGAACTGTTTCTCTCCGGTGTGAATGGTCATGTGGCATCTACGGGTTAGTTCTGTCGTGAAGCTCTTCCCACACTGATCACATGTGAACAGCTTCTCTCCCGTGTGACTTCTCATGTGGTAATTAAAGGTGTTTTTGTGAGTAAAACTCTTTCTGCACTGAGTGCAAGTATAAGGCTTCTCTCCAGAGTGAATTCTCATGTGGACTTCGAGGACTCCTTTTCCAATGAAACTCTTTCCACACTGTTTACAGATAAAATGTCTCTCTCCAGAGTGAATCCTCATGTGGACTGCCAGGTTTTGTTTTTGAGGGAAATTCTTTCCACACTGTTTGCAGGTGAACAAGCTCTCTTCACTGTGAGTTCTCAAGTGGGAATTTAGGTTGCATTTATATGCAAAACTCTGTCCACACTGAGAGCAAGTATAAGGCTTTTCTCCAGAGTGACTTCTCATGTGGACTGCAAGGTATCTTTTTTGAGCAAAACTCTTTCCACACTGCTGGCAGTTGTAAGGCTTCTCTCCAGTGTGAACTCTCATGTGAATTTTAAGGTTTTCATTGGTAGTGCAACACTTTCCACACTGTTTGCAGGTGAAAGCGATGTCTCTATTGTGAATTCTCATGTGGACCTTAAGGCTTCCTTTTCGATTGAAACTCTTTCCACACTGATGGCAGGTAAAAAAGCTCTTTGATTCAATCTTCTGGACACTTTTTTGAGAGGAGCACTCCTTAGTTTTTCTCCTTAATTTTTCTCCAATTTTGAAATCACAATCTTTCTCATTCTGCTCTTTCTCTTCCATATCCTTCAGCTCTTGACTCTCCTCAATCAGGTCTAAAATGAAAAAACAAATACAAAACCAGTTTAATGGCACAAAGAAACAGACAACAAAACCAAGAGAAGGCAACAAAATCTACTGTAATCTCAGAAATTCTTTGCTTTCAAACTTTCAACCTGGTAGTTATCAAATGCCTAGTGAAACAGAGCTTGACCAAAGAAGAGCTGCTTAATTTTCCAGCACAGCATTCATTTGGACAGCATGAGAATTGTATTGCCAATTTTGGGAACAAGCATTAGCACGGTTTAAGTCTTATCTATCCAACTGCTACCACAGGAGACATTTCATCAAACACAAGTACAGAACGATGTTTTGTGTAAATCGTACGTAAAGCCGTTCCAACATAAACTTTAGAATTCATGAAAATTTTCACATTTTCAAAATGTTAGTGGGTACGAAAGAAATGTACCACCTGCTCCTTACCACACATAAATGGTGCGTAAAACATGGTGTGTTCTTTTCGGCAAACTGATAAGACTGAATTTTGATGCATTACTATAACAAGTTTGTTTGCCCTGTACAACTTTGGGTAAAACGCAGGGCTCGTTACTGTCACTTTTTTTTTTAATACTAATACTATACTGCACAAATACTACACCAACCAACCATCCTACTTGTACAACACCCCAACAACAATGGGGAAATTATTGCTGGTTACTTAATGTTTATATTCAGTAATATTCTTCAAAATAAATAAAGTAGTAAAGCACTAAATCCACCAAAAAAACACACCAAAGCGTTCTCAAGCGCCACCAGCTGGCCGTTTTTAGAAGAGCACCTGGCATTTTTTTCAGCTGGCTACAAACGTTTTGGTGGACATACATTAATTAAATATTTATTGTTAGGCATATGGCCTTTTAATATTTTTTTATTATTATTTATTTATGCAATATACTGGAGTCAAACCTGAGAAGGGAACTCAAAATATTTCACTGCGTTCCTGGACACGTAATTCACTTAGCTGTAATTCATAGGTGGGGATTATGCTAATTGTGAATGAGTGTGCATGCATGCCCTATTTACAAATGAATAGAATTCAAACACATTTAACTACGAAATCTGACGTTTACAAAACCTTTGTGAATCCGGAGGAGAGTTGTCGGGAAGGTCTGATTTACATGCAAATTACTCTGAATTTTCTCATATATTTACACAAGTTTCATGAGGCCCATTGTTCTAAACGTGAAGTTTAATCTATGGCAACAAACCTCATGCCAGAGAGGGGCATGCCTTACACTGGCCACCTCTGACAGCATCAGTCAATTAAAGTGCTGTATACTTAAGGCGCCAATTTGCAGATCCCTTCTACTCAAGAAAGATTAAAAAAAAAAAAATTATGCTAAGCCAAGTTGTTGCTCCAAAATTCCAAGCTACTCTGGCCCTTGAGGTCCACTTTCCTGCAGAGTTTAGATCCAACCCTAATCAAACACACCTGAACAAGCTAATCAAGGTCTTCAGGATCACTAGAAAGATACTGGGGCAGGCTAAACATTTGTATATGTGACTCTGGACCACAAAACCAGTCATAAGGGTCAATGAAATTAAGATTTATACATCAATGGAAAGCTTATTTATTCAGCTTTATTCAGTAATATGCATTCCTAAGTTTTGATATAGTTACTATAGGAAATTACAAAATTCTTAATTACTTAAAATCCTAATGATTTTTGAAATAAAATAAAAATTTATAATTTTGACCCATACTATGGGTCATGTGACTTATGACTGGTTTTGTACTCCAGGGTCACATATGCCATTAATTGGGAATGACTGAAAGATGATGTCTGTCTGCCTTACCATCGTGCCACTCGAAGACAGACATACCTCAACCAACATTGCAGAGTGGTTGGAAGAAGTACCAGTCAAATTTAAAATCCCTTTTGAGAAAATTACTGCCATCGTACATGACATTGGTGAGAACATTATGGCTGCTGCAAAATTACTGGAGGAGAAACATGGGTGGACCAGTATACACTGGACTGGCCACACTTTGTTCTTTAAAGCAGCATTAATAACCAACTGCAAAGGCATTCAAAGACGATCCTGGGGATCAAGTTCTTACCAAACTGGACACTCAAAAGTCTTGGACAAAGGCAGTTATGAAAAAGGGGAGTGTCACACCATCTTATCTTCTGGAGACAGAGCAAGGGAAAACACTACGTGAAACAGATGCCACCTCCAGGGTATTGTGTTTTCCAGTCGGACTACCAAATCACCGCCCTGCCAAATAAGCTATCTTGAATAGCGAAATAAAAACTCTTCCTAGATTTGCTTTGTTCACGCGCTTGTAGAGGTGAAACAGCAGCCTATAGAAAGCCTATAAAAACATTCTGCTGAGTCCTTAATGTTAACCAAACAACTAAACACAGCTTTAATGAAGATGAATCTATTATTAATTTATACAGTGAACACTAAAGTTTTTTTCTGAGGATGAGAAGACAAATTACTAAAACAAATGTCTTTTTTCGTTACTTGCATAGTTAAGTGAATGAATAGTAGGAGTGTGCGATATTGACAAAAAATGCTATTTCGATATTTTCTGGGGGTTTTTCGATAATGATAATTCAACAATATTTTGCCGAGTGTGTTATTGCGCTGATATCTTAAGGACTACCGTGGACTCCTGAAGTTTTTGATATTCTTCATATTGTGTGTGGTGGTCAGTTCACATCAGTAATAGAAATTAATATTAAGTTTAAATTGATTTTTTCCTTTATAAAGCCATTTTTTTCTAAAAGTGTGCATCTTTTGAGTCAAATTCTTACATTTAATCATTCAAGTAGAATAAAAAGTAGGGATACTCCGAACAGGATTTTTGCAGCCGATACTGAGTACCGATTTCTTGTCATGGTGATCGGCCGATACCGATTATAATGCTTCAAGCTTTATATACCAGGTGCATCTCAATAAATTAGAATGTCGTGGAAAAGTTAATTTCATTTCAGTAATTCAAATCAAATTGTGAAACTCGTGACAGTAAATGAACATACTTTCCAGAAGGCCAACAATTCACTAAAAAAAATTTTTTTATTGGTCTTATGAAGTATTCTAATTTGTTGAGATAGTGAATTGGTGGGTTTTAGTTAAATGTGAGCCAAAATCATCCCAATTAAAAAAAACAAAGACTTAAATTGAATGCACACAGACTGAAGTAGTTTATTTAATACACGAGTTTCACAATTTGAGTTGAATTACTGAAATAAATGAACTTTTCCACGACATTCTAATTTATTGAGATGCACCTGTAGACCGTTTCATCGGGCACACGCGCCTTGCCCAGTCCGAAGTTAACTTACGGTCTGTGTTTGTTTATCAGTCTGGCTATGGCACCGGCTACAAACGCAGTTAAAGTTAAGGTGATGAGTAGACTGAAGTTGGACTCAGGTGGTTGTGCTGTGGGATGTGTTTCCCATACATTATATTTATAATATTTATTTGTGGATTTGTTGAGATAGTGAATTGGTGGGTTTTAGTTAAATGTGAGCCAAAATCATCCCAATTAAAAAAAACAAAGACTTAAATTGAATGCACACAGACTGAAGTAGTTTATTTAATACACGAGTTTCACAATTTGAGTTGAATTACTGAAATAAATGAACTTTTCCACGACATTCTAATTTATTGAGATGCACCTGTAGACCGTTTCATCGGGCACACGCGCCTTGCCCAGTCCGAAGTTAACTTACGGTCTGTGTTTGTTTATCAGTCTGGCTATGGCACCGGCTACAAACGCAGTTAAAGTTAAGGTGATTAGTAGAGTGAAGTTGAACTCAGGTGGTTGTGCTGTGGGATGTGTTTCGCATACTTTATATTTAATATATTTATTTGTGGCGCTCGCCACAATATCAAAACTGACTGATTTTCCAAAAGGCTTCATTGAAAAAACATGAGCACGTACTGCACGACAAATAGCAAATTTTTAATTGTTTCTCAAAACGTCATAGCATTTCCACACAGGTGATGACATGACTGTGGCTTAAAATCATTTGCATCCCCACGTACCGTGTACGTGGTCAGGCGTTGACGTCATCAAATTGCGATCAGTTCATGAGATCAGCCAAATAGTGAATACCGATCGAGTCATGAAATGTGATTATCGGCTGATACCGATCTCTGGACGATCGATCGGAACAGCCCTAATAAAAAGACATTTAGGCTGTTACCAGACAAATTAAATTGGATCAACAAAATTCATCTTTGCAGAAGTTGCATCTGAAGTGGCATTTACACAGTGATTTACACACGTTTAATGCAGCTCGGAGGGACATGGAATGACTTATTACTGCAGTTACAAATGCATAAATAATGTTTTGATATTTTAAACATTAAATACTGCTGTTTGAAATTATTTAAAAAAATGAAGTCGCTAGGTTTGTCAGTATAAATACTCAGGGGGAAAAAGCCTGAGACGCGGGAGCTGAAGGCAGGGGGTGGTGGATATTTGTGGCAGTCAGTGTGGATATTGTGGATGAGTTCTTCTGCATCATCACGTTCTATTAGTTCTACAGCTTCAGTTTCCGAATTTTCACGCTTAGTAACACATACAGCTGTTCCCTCACCACAGTGCAACAGTGAAAAGGGACCCCTTTCAAACAGTGTCGCGTTCCGAACGTTGTTTAAGCGACACACCGGTATTGCGGTATTTAAAAAATTCATATTACAAAAATAAACCGTTATTCGGTATGAACCGGTATACCGCCCAGCACTAATGCAGATTGACAAAAAATCTGCATCACATATCGGCCGCCCTGATTTCTAAATATCGGCATCGGCCAAAGGAAAACCCAAATCGGTTGACCTCTATATGAAATGATATAAATGTATACATTTTCTGTCCCCATATCTTGAATTTTGTGATCGTTTTAAATGCATTTTAATAGACTGAATCATGCAGTGAAAGAACGCACTCTAAATGTGTACGCGTGCACTGTATTACTGCACCTACTAGACTTCTACAAAGTGCACTCATACATTGTGATGGTGTTTTGTTTGGTTTTTGTAATATACTCGATAATGTCAAATCGCACATCGTTAAAACAACAATTACGATATTATTGCAGACGATATATATAAATTGCACATCCCTAATGAATAGTTGTCATTGTTTTCAGGTCAGAAGTTGATATTGGGCAGTTAACAGTGAGGTTCCTATGTACTATCATTTAAGTTATTAATAAGTTCATTATTTTTATTTAATGCATGACATAATAACGGATGGAAGTAGGAGCTTCTCAGCTTGAAGGCAGCATTAGTATTTGCAGTGTTTCCACTAGAGCCCGACCGATATGGTTTTTTTGGGGGGCCGATACTGATACCGATATATTGGCCGATATTCTTTGTGTATATTATAGTACAGTACTAGTCAAAAGTTTGGACACTTTCCCATTCGTGTGTTCAAACATTTCACTGGTACTATATATAGAATACAGTATATACATAAACAGAATATATATACATAAACATTTTTTGCAATGATCACTCAAATGTGGTGACAAAGATATGTAATGATGGAGGCAGGGCATTTAACAATAAACTTTATTCAAAATGAGTCTTACATCAGTGCACTGAACAGTAAAGTTGAAGTTTATTCAGCTTTAACTTTATTCCGTTTAAGTTTTTCACTTTGGAACATTCATTCACGGATTTGCGCTACTGTCTTCACACACAGACAGAACTTACTAGAGAAGTGTGAAGTGTGACAATTTACCTCTGTAAATAAATATAAATTCACGTCTCGCGCACTTTAATGCCCTTTGAATGTAACGTGTACGTTCCCTTGGAACTGGAATCATGGCGGAATTGTATGTGAAGTCCACTTCGCGGGGCACTTACGGTTGAATAAGACGATGCTTGAATGCTGCTGCCTGAACAAGAGACCTCCTTACTGAAGTGAAAGTGTTGGCTGGTGTCACTATCTCGCGAATGCGCAGGCAGATCTCCACTAAATTTGGGGGATCCCTTCAGCTCGAGGAGCCCTCTCGAACACCACCCTCCACGCGGCGGTAGCCCCCCGGGATTGCTAGATCGGTCTGCGCTGGACCGCAAATTTAACTAGAGCCCGAACTCCTGAACCCCGGGGGCTATCGTTCGAAAGAGGGCCTTGAGACTTGCGTTCGCGCGAATTTAGCCACCCGCAACTCCTGAACCCCTGGGGCTATCGTTCGAAAGAGGGCCTTGAGACCTACATTCGATTCGCGTTCGAGAGGGTTCCTCGAGCTGAAGGGATCCCCCCCCGTTCTATGTTTCAATGGTCTTCCATAGACTTAAGCTTTAAAGCATTTCATCCAGGTCGCCAGTAGCAAACAATGGAGCGTGCTCTGCTGGACAAACTAAGTAATTACACCATTTCAAGCATTTTATCTGTGTTATATGCTCTGTAAAAAAAAAAAATCATATCGGCGACAGGCTCATATCGGCCGACAATATTGACTAAACGATATATCGGTCGGGCTCTAGTTTCCACACAGACTTACACTCTATGTGTGGCAGCACATCCCCCGGGGGAAATATATATTTACGCAAATGTATTCTCTGCCAGCAGGAGGTGCTTTTGGAGCGGAAGAGGTTTTCTCTTCGGTAACGGCTGTACACAAAGCAGAGCTCCACTCACAAACGCTGCTTTATCAGGCTTTACAGGCAAGATGAAATGAAAATGACATCAAATTTTCTGAAGACAGTTTCCTTCAGTTTTGATATTGTGGCAGGCCACAGATAAATCAATATATGGGAAACACTGGTATTTGTCTAGTAATGATATCACAATATGTCTGCACACGTGAGTCTCCATGTCAAATAAAACCATTTAAATGATGAAACTACAGATGAATGATATTTTTGAAGAACGTCATGTAAGAGCCTGACATTTTAATAAGGATCCAATGAGAATGAAAACTCACCTGTTTGTTCCTCAGTATCTTCTTGTTTCACTCTGAATACTTCTTCAATCTTCCAGTCTTCACTCTCCTCTTTAATAAATGCCATCTTTATAATGGTGTGAATGGAAAAAAAATCTCAAATCAAATCAGCTCCCTAGTTCAGCAGTCAGCGCACTGCTAAGAGAATCAGTCAGAGTGAGAGTTAATAGCCTTAAATGAGCTGATTATCAAAAAAACAGACTTCATATGCATTCGTTTAGGTACCGAATGATCTATAGATTACGGTTTAATGACTTTATTTGCAGTTGGTTTGTAAAAGTTATTTGCTGTTCTTGTTGCATTAACAGTTTTTAGCAGAAGAGGAGATTAAAGGGGTTTAAAGTCCAAGACCATAACCTAACAAATCAGTCAGGGCCAAAAAAAAAAAAAAAAAGTGTATTTTAATGATAGCATTAATTTCAAAATCAAATGTAAGCTAGCTAATACTAAATCAAATGAGTTAATGTGTATTCCTCTTACCAGTTATAATGTAGTCTGTTTTTTTATTATTTTAAAATTTTTTAATTGAGTGATTTTAACTTTTAATTTAGTGCTTTAAATAGTAATTTTAGATTGTAACAATGTCATTAAATCTTGGGCACAATATTCATTAAATACACTCAGTAGTATCCTATATTTTTTATTTATTTGATTTATTAAGTTGCATTTTCTGCATACTTTTATTTTTGGACTGACAATAAAAAGTCAAATAATTGTATGTGAGAGAGTCAGCAGTAATATCAATGTGTTTCCCGTACAACTAAGTAACTCGCCGATTAACCATCATTGAACGATGCATTGCTGTGGAAACGAATTAGCTAGTCACGACTGTTTCCTGAACACAGTCGTATGTCCGTCGTTTGAACCACATTAGTTTAACAACATAGGGCCATTTTGTTAATGACGTCACACGCATGTGGTAGAGTAATAACTTGTGCTATTTAACTGATTAGAGATCTCTAAGATGCTGCTGTATTGAACATGGCACCCGATGACTAATTTACTATTTTTAGTTCTCTGTCATTCGGGTTTCCTCTTACGTCATACTCCGTTTTTCCCGTATGTATTTATGCACATGCGCACTCTTCAAAAGCAGCACTTATTGAGGATGCGCAAAAAATACATAGATTAAAATGCATTTATATTTCCATAGAATGGAAGATATAGATTGTACTGCATGTTAGCTTGCTTATTGTGTCCAAGAGCATAATTAATTTAACCCATATGTCTTACTAACAAGAAACATTGCTTCCACCCACAGGTCGTGAGCTGTAGTTCCTACCACGCAAGTTTGCGACACTGTTTGCGAATTATAGTTTCGGGAAACACTGAATCGTTGAACCATGTTGTAAACGACAGAACTTGTGACCATAGTTGACTAACAATGGCACTTATGCTGGGAAACTAACCTGGGGTGCGTTTCCCAAAAGCAGAGTGACTGAGCTTGAGCTGCACGATAAATCGAAATGGAATCGAGATCGCGATTCGACAGACGCTGCGATTGTCATGCGTATCTTTCAGTGAAGCACGGTTCTGTGATCAGTAGTAAATCTGCATCCGAAGGCCAGAGAAACTCCAAATACGCCTCGCAGAAGAAACCCAGAAAATGCCTATCGCTGTAGCTGAATAAACAGAAGATTCAACTGCTTCAACTCTATTGATTCAACGTGACTAATAAACACACGACTACAGCAATATACG